GTATCAGGTCAACAAAACATGGGCATAGTAACAATATTTTTATACTACATTTATCCATTTTATAGTAACCTCACTCCTTTGTAACAACTAAGGCAAAAATGTAATTAATTCAGAAAATCTTTTCAGGACCCCATCTTGATGTTTCGGGACCCCACTTTGGGTCCCGACCCCAACTTTGGGAAACACTGCCTAAAGCTATTTTTGACTATCAAAACCAGTGATTAACTTTTAATCCAACATGTAATCATATTCAAATAACCGGCAAAGTAAAGAGCTCATCGAAGCAGCGTCGTTGCGCTGTCACCTGTTTAAATGTGACCTCAACTTGTTTATGACATTATGACATGCTAATCAACCTCTGCTTTAAATGCACCCAATAAACGCATGAAAAGACGTTCTGCCTCACAGCTGCCACCTTTATAAACATTTCCATAAACCGCTGAGGCAGAAGAACAGAAAGCGTGACGTGGAGCCATGAGTAAATTAGAACTCAAAATGTGTTTACAGACTGACACATTAGCAAACAAAGCTGCGACTAAAACATGCTATGGCAACAGACAGGTGTTATTGTTTGTGTAGTTGTGTGCGTGTGTCCAAATATGAACCAATGGAATTTTAACCAAACTTGTGGAAAGAAATAAATTAAACTGTCAACTGATCTACAAAAATGAAATATAAAACTAGCTGTAACTCAGCAATTTTTACAGATGTTGATTTAAAATTTGGTGTGGGAGAAGTAGAGACCGATCCCCTACACATATTTAGAGGGCAAAAWTTTATCATGTTCAACTATTTGAGTCGACTCTGTTAGGGCCCTTCACACTATAATGTTTTAGACAACTTATGCCAACTTATTACATTTTATTATGGCTAAATTACTAATAAAAAATTATATATTTTATCAATTTGTTAGCATTACAGTATGTACGGGCCTTAAAGAGGCTTCCAGTTGATTTYGTAATTCCATCTTCAACGTAGATGTCTTTAAAACTTTCATAAGTTGGCATAAGTTGTCTAAAACATTATAGTGGGACAGGTTCTTTAGCAAAATACCTCAAACCACTGCATGGATTTAATAGAAACTTTAAAGAGCCTATAACATGCATATCCCTAAAACATAAAAAAGTAAAAAAAAGATATATTTATATTTAAGAAACTTGGCATAATACATGTGATTTTACCCATTTTGTCACATAACAGGCATAATTTTTTTTAATTGGCTCAGCGCAATTACAACAGGAAGTGACATCAAAGGGGAACTCTTTAAGAGAGAAAGTCCCTGGTTTGTTAATAGAAATATTAGAACTCTGAGTCTTCTTAATTACTCTCAGGTAATGACTAAAAATAATCTAAAGCAACAGTTTCTTCTCTACAGTCTGTGTTGTTAGTCAACTGCTTTGTTTACATGCAGACGTATCTTTTGTCATCACTTCCTGTTTCGTTGCATTCAAATATCTCATCTGTTCATCTCAGCAGCATGACATTTCTTTTGCAATATTCTTTTCAGTGCCATCTTTCCAAAAATAAAATCGGACTTACTATAGAAGTTTCATGTCACCGGCACTTAAAGGAAAAAGAAAAACTGAATATACATTTTGAACTTTGAGGCAACCAAATTCAAGATGGCCACCGCATCCAAAATTTTTTTTAAAAGAAAGTGGCAATAACTAAGTCAATTTCACAGACAATTTGCTGACATTTTGCTTGGTAGTAGCCAGGAGTCAATAATGTCACACACTCCAAACACTACTCACTATACAAAACCTTTGCTTAAAACTTTAGCAATAAATTCTGGAATCAACCCTGTTCGTCTGTTAGCAAAATATCGTATGACCCACTGGGAGGATTTTACAAAAACTTTCAAAAAGTATACATTAGATTGACCTTTGAAGTCATTCCAACTCAAAATGGACACCAAAACTAATCAACATTAGCCACCCACAAACATGGCTCAAACGCAGTCGGTTTTATAGAWACTAAACAATAACTTGTTGTGGTTGTAGATGAGTTATTCCCACCACATTCTGTTGCTCCTGAAGCCCAACAACAGCACAGATCATTACAGCAGTTCAGCACTGAGCATTTCAGTAATTAATTATGTATGAGACATTGTACTAAACTATACTTTAATGCGGTTCTTTAAAAGCGTTGTCGTTTTTAGGRGAGTGTATTACAGTAATCAAAGCAAAAAAACTTTGTCAAATATCACTTTACACAAACCGGAGGCGGTGTTTGGGCAGAGTGGCTCTGCTCAGTGGGACCTGTTTTTTGTTTGTTTGTTTAAAGCACAGTAAGAGGACAGAATTTTTAATATTTTGAATATGCTTCTTCACGAGTTGCAAAAATAAACACCAGGAGAAGAACACATTAAAACTGTTAGGATATTTCAGGATGTGGCAGCCTTTAAAATTAAAAAAATAAAAATAAAAACACTGAAGCTCATAAAAAATATATGTAAGGCATGCAGTATAATACCCTAACACTTGGATAAGCATCACAGCCTGGCATAAAACTATGTCACCGAGTGCCTATGCAAATGTGTCTTGGACGTTTAGCCAAATAACATTTGATAAAGAAAAAAAAGTTTCTGACATAACGGTATGCAAAATGAGAGCAGCAGAAAACTATAAAAGGTGGCTCAGACCCATTTATTTTATTATTTATTGTCCGGTCAGAGAAATTTCATGGAGACAAGTCTTCTGAGAAATACACCACGGCAAAGAAACAGCAGCACAAGTTGAAAAAAAGATAAACAAAAAGGAGCCGCTGAACTATTTTCTTAGGAGGACAAATTTCTTTTTAACATCAGTAAGTAGGATGTGTGGTCTATTTGTGAGCCACAATACTTCACATTAGGAGAGTTTTTTTTCTTGAAACAGTTTGTGAAGAATTGAAAAGGGAGAAGAAGGCAAGGACGCAGTCGAGTCATTTCACCACGTTCTCCGTCGTTGACGAGTTTAATACACTGTAACCATGGCGACACAGGGCATCTACCACAGCCTCTGCATCAGGGTCCTGGAGGGCTCGGCAGAGAGCGGCATTTTCGTCGTCAGCRTCTGCTGCGGCGAGCCGCTGCTGCTGCGGTTCTGGAGCACAAAGCCCGCTTTCTGTAACGGCCAGGTGGAGCAGACACACGTGAAGCGTAACTCGAGGGCAGAGATGGATTTTGTTCTGCGGGCGATCGACCGCGCACCTAACCTCCCTAACAGCCACTACTGGGGCCCGTTTGTGTTGGCTCTGTGCCTCGATGCTCTGCCCTTCCAGTTCCGGCTCTCAGCTAAGATCCGGTGTTGCAATGATTTACAAGACACTATGAAGGAATGTGGTAAACTAACTTTGCTACGATGAGCTCAAACTTTAGCAACTTCTTTGGGAAATATGATGGTTTTGCTCTGACCTGCTGTAAAATTTGCTCAACTTTAAGTTTGATGATTCTGTTCTGTTTTTTGTTCTAAAACTTTGGTCTCCCATGCCCACTCACGTTGGGCCAAACACGGAGGCGTGCTGTGCAAGTCCGCCCAGAGACAAACCACCAGGACATCTCTGGCCTAACCACACAACTATAAAAGTGGGCAGAGCCTTGGCTGCTGCATGATGAGCCAGGCACAACATCAGTCAGTGTGGTTAGGAAAATGAAAGACTAGCAGCAGGAAAGGGAAAATACAAGAGGAAGACATTACATAACGAACAGTGGGAACAGATGCGATGAACAGTTAGACTTTCAAGACAACTTTGGTCACAGAGAGGATAATAAAACACTCACCATCATAGGTAAAATGACCTCCATCCTTGAAGACAACCACTGCAGGAAGCTCTGACAAAGACACTGACTGTGAAAGAGAAGTTTTATTTATTTATTTATTTTTTAAAAAAAGGTTTCAAAGGCTCTTCAGATGTTCTGAAGGTCTTTTAAAGTTTTTTTTTCTTTTTACACTGGCTGTTTTGTTCCTTTATTCTCAATCCAGTTCTTGCACTTAATCCTTTTAATAAAACTATTTTCCAAAGTTAAATGTGGAACGTATTTACCAAATTTCCCTCTGGGATCAATAAAGTATTTTTGAATTTTTGAATTTGAATAATTCAAACACACTTGAGAATTTAACCAATGTTGTGTTGACTTAAAACAAAAGAGATGAGCAAATGAACCAGTTTTAAATTGGATCTGAAGCACTTTATTACAAATTTGTTGCAGAAACAATTAGTTTTTATTTTTAGATGCAACTAAAACCCCCAAAATAACAGGTTTTTTGGCTAAAACAAAGTTTTTCTTGCTCCAACAAGATGCTTTCCAAAGAAAAGTCAAAACACCTAATAATTAGCCGGAGTTGATTGTCAGATATAACCCTCCTTATCTTCTTTTGTTCTTCACTGGTTGATTTAACAACTTTGAGGCTTTTATACAAGCCATGCCAAAATATAACAACTTTTTGAACTCATAATCACGTTGAAAAGGTCATATTTTATGCTTATCAAACTTGTGGATTTTGCTTTTTTTTGTACATGCAGCTAAAATGTTTTGAAAACAAAAACTGTCTTTGCAAGAATTTGTTCTAAAAGTTCCATTTAAAATGAGTTCTTTGCTCAGTCTGCTGAGTGTAGATACAACACTGGTTCGAGTTTGAGACTTTTTTTAAACTGACAGGCTTCGTGGGTCCCTGTTAAGTCAACTAAACAAGAAAACAAAAAACTTTATTTGAAAATGTTGAAAGAAGTTTTTTAAAAAAATCTTAAAATACATTTTAAAAATAATCCTGCCTTTTTAAAGCAAAATCTAAAAAGACATGAGGTAGCTGAAGATCTTTGAGCAAGCCTGTACATCTAAATATACCRTTGAAAAGGAGCTGTAAAAGTGTGTGATAACATAATTTAATTGTAATGAACATGATAACGTAGATTTACCTCTGGTAAGGATTCCTCTGAGGCTGAGAAGAAGTAAGTATAGACAATGAGCTCAGATGCTACATCGCTGTACTTCTCCTGCAATGATCAAAAGAAAACGTTTTAGACATTGCACAGCAGTTCTAAGTACATTTAGAAGGTTTTGCATGCATCTATGTGGTTTTCTTTTGATTTTGTTGTGTTTGTGCAGAAAAGAGGTTGTAATAAAAGCATCTTGGTTTCTGTGTGAGTGACACAAATAGTGCTTACTTTGAGCGGAGACTCCCCACCGACGTACACAAAAAGAACTTCATGCCGTTTCATCATGTGTTCAAACATCTGCTTGCTGGGAAGTGCTCGAACGGCGGGTCTGAAAAAAAAAATGAAACCACAACAAATTTTCTTTTATTTTTGGTATTTTAATTGGAATCTAAATAGAACTAGTGAAACGGGTGTATGGCCAAGTATTTATTTTTGAGCTGATGGTGCCATCCAGTGGAGATTTAAAAACCTGCTCCCCTGGACTGATCTCAGGGCCAAGCTTTTGATCATCCCCTCTGTCATGGATCGAGCTTGATTCCCCTCAAGGAGGAAAAAAATCTGTCAGGCTTAGTTGATACAGTGGCTTAAAGTGGAGCATCAGAGGAAGAAATCCATTAAGCTATGAAAACAAATATGGCCTGCGTTGATAAGCTGGCTTGGATGGATTTCATTAGTGCAGCATGTCTCCTTTTGAAATAACGGACGTTCTGCTCGCTCCTTAGTTTTCGTGTCATTTTGTTTAGGCCTGCAACTCACCCTGCCACTCTGTTGGCAAACTCTACAATATCATCCTTTGTTCTCGGTCCCTTGTAGCTGTAGGCAAGATCACCCTTTAATCTGAAAAGTGGAAACAAATACAAAACAAGAGTAAGAGGCCACTTCTTCCTTAATGTGCACCAGCGGAATTATATTAATTAAATGCTTGAATAAATACCATAAATTGGAAAATTAACTGAAGCACCCACATGGGCACATTGAAAATACTGTTTTGAGAAAACCTGTTAATTAAACAAACTAGTTTTGCAGAAGCAGCAAAGATCAACTAGACAGCTTGATCAGACAGTTATTCTACTTWATTGAGAGTTTTGTTGTTTACCCTCATTAAAAAGGGTAAAGATCAACTATTTCTAGCTGCTTTTCTTCAGTTTTTATCCATTAATTTGCCACTTAATGCATTTAGGTTCTTGTCTTCATATACGAACAGAGGAAAAAAAATGTTACTGTAGCTGTTTTCCAAAACATAACCAAGGTACAGTTTTATGAGTGGGAGGTAGTAAATCTTCACTTAATTTGAGCCTATACTCATTCAAACTTAAATAACTTTTAAATTTTTGAGTTTACACAATCTTTTTCAAATCAAATTAGCAGAAGACGCTTAGAAGATTAGAAGAAGCTGTCTCTTTCAGCTGTAACAACAAAAAAAATCCCTTAAACAGATACTGTAGCAGGAACATTGGAAATGATCAAATCAAATGGGTAGAAAAAAAGGACACACTGATGTGCTCAGCAATGTAAAACACCCGGATACTCATTGGAAGAAAATAAACAAACAGCAGATGACATCGAAAACACATGAAAAACTCTCTTCCTTGCGGTAATCATGTTATCCAGGTCAGACATGAAAAGAAAATGCCACAAAAACAAAAAAGAGATTTCATAAATCTCAAGAACAAAAAGGCTAGAAAAGAGTTTAAAAATACGAACATCCTGAAAAACAACCGACATGTATTTTAACACCATATGCAGGGCTTCCTGTGGCACTACTGATAAAGAAACAGCAGCAAAATGATGAATTTGTGGTGTGTTTACGCATAAGTTATCAGTTCAAATTAAAAAAACAAAACAAATAATTATTTGTAAAGCATTTCAAAGATGCTACAGATGGACAATGACTCAAAACAAAATGTAAATATAGCCTGGGAGCTTCTGAGAACAAAGGAAATGAAAGCAGAATTTCCTTTCCATACATAAAAAAACAGCAAAGTCAGCGGTAAAAAAAAATAACTCAAAATAGTTGCATTAAATGATTTTGTAACAAAAAGGAAATGGTCAAAATTGCCTAAATTCACCAAATGATTCATACTATTTTTGTTAAYCCCTAAATTTCAGCTAAAAATGCAAACAGATTGAATTCAAAAGATTTTGCGGCTTCAACGAGTAAAAACATTGAAAACTGTCCAGAAATATTTGGATCTGCTTAGTAACAGAGAGGGACTCTTTGTGCTTTCATACCATCCTGAATATTTTGTGCCTAAAATGTATAAAATGTTTTAGATATTTTCTCCACATGCTTGGTTTCAGTTTCATTGATCGGTTGATTGCAGAAGAATGTTCAGCTGAACGTTAAAGCTAAAATTCTTGATTTCTAATGCATCACAAATGTGCTGTGTGGGACTGAGAGACAGTGGAGTCAAGTGGATTTGATAAGTTGTTGTTTTTAGTTTTGTTTTTTTACGAGAAATAGCCTTTTCTCCTGCTGCTATGAGCCATCAGGGCATGCACAGTCAGCATCACAAGTCTGCCATGCTGTGGCATTTGAACAGAGCTCAGCTGGTATTAAGGGCCGTAATGTGTACCAGGAAGAACTCCYACATCTACACCAAGCTGCCTCGTCGACACACGGCATGACGGTTCAAACTTCTGCTGTTTGACTCAACTCTGACTTTTCTATTTGCTTGTTGCAGCAGAAATCAAGAACACAAACAGTAGAACGTTCCTAAATGATGAGTGATGAGCCGAATGTCACTGTAGGTTGAAGCTTGGTTCAAAACCTTTCCACAGAACCTCACTTCCAAAGATCTGAATTATTATTTAATAATCAAACAGATGACCAATTTACTGTCTTTTTACTTATATATGTGATTGAAAAAACTTGTCAGACGTAATTTCATTTTTTGCATATATTTATTGTTGATTAATTTGTTCATAAGCAATAAGAACAAAAAATAATGAAGCCCAACTTTGGTACATCATTAGGATGGAGTTAAAATCATATTGTGTACAATTAATCATCAGAAAAACATTCGATGGTTAATATTTGGCACTTAAAGGTTAGTTCAGTCAGGTGGACAGGCTTACGGAACCGAGTACTTCCCCGGTAGTCTACTCTCTTTCCTTTTCTAATCCAAATAATTGATCGCCTACTTCCTCGGCAAAGTCCTCACTCCGTCTCCATCTTTTTATTTTCTTCTTCCTGAGGATTTTTTGCCACTCGTCAAGTAATTTCAGGCGTCAGTCAGAAAGGAGTTTGGGGAGCTATATGACTGTTCAGCGGGGGTCGGGGGGTGAGACCAGAAAGAGGATTGAKGTGTTCCTTTCCATAAATCTGCCTGTCCTTTGCTGCCTTCCGCTGCAACATGCTTTCAACGACCATAAAGCAAGGCAAGTTTGTTTATGAAAACTGCAGTTTTACTTTGCTTATCAAAACAATTTAAAAGCTGGTGTATAGCTTGAAGTCTGTACTTTTGACACAAATTGGAACAGATTTTTAGAGAGGGTGTATCTTTTCCTCTAGAGTGATTTAAAACAGCGTCCAGGGACTCCAGGGGATCAATCGTCATATTAATAGTTATTGGTCAAATACCTCAATTAACCTTGTTTGATAATATCTCATTCCCTTCATATTCATTTTAATTATTATTAATAAAAAATAAAAGTTTCGGGAGAAAAATATCTTGATTTTTGTGTATTTTACTTCAATATACTAAATACTAGTTACAGTTACAAAGAATATGACTGCTGAAGTTGAAATTTCAGATTATTAGCTTTAAAAAGAGACCAAGCTTGTGAATTTACTCTAAAGGGTTCAAAAGCAGTACTTCATTTAATTTGTGTGTACTTTTTAAGGCGTTTTATGGTATTTTATGCCCGAAGGTAATATTGGACACCTTGCAATTACTGCAATGTGTACCACATGGCTGTTTTGTGTGATGCACTCGTATCAAACACGAATGTGAGTCTGTAGCATTTTGTGTTACTAAAGATTTGCTGCCACTCTACACTGGTGAAAAACTAGGTTTCAATTCATAGCTTAATATTTTAACCTGTTAAAAGGAGACACTTGATGCTTTTAAATCCTCCTTTCGAACATTTAAATCCTTCAGTTGAGTCTTTATAAAGTGGAACTGCAATGCTTTGATCTGAATTCCTCCTTACTGTAGCTCCACAAGTCCCTCTTTCACCCCTTTCCTGAGGTGTGCCTCAGATCAACTCGTTTCGAGGCTGTTTCTTAAAATCCAAACGAGATGCTTCAAACCCTCCCCCCAGTTTGACAGACGGGGGTTACCACTTTATAGCTGCACAGAAACTGTTTATTTACAAATGGATAAAAATAGGGCAAACTCATCCATCCAGCCTTACATGTTGGAGCCAGAGTCCAACCCAGAACCAGAGTCCGTCCCAGAACCAGAACCAGAGCCAGAACGAAATACCAACATGTAGTTGGTAAAGTTCAGACCTTATGTGACTGTTCTGTTGCAAATACTGTGATGTAATCATCCAGAAAGCATGATAGAAAGTAGAGAAAACCGCACAGGCTGAAAAATCTGACCCAAACAGAATATAAAGATATCTACGCAGCACAAGAGGAGACTAGAACAAACCTTTCTACACTCCCAGAAACCCCAACTACACAACAAAATGCATTTAACAGTTAAAAAAGTGAACTTTGTTAAGTCCCTTTTAAAATGAAGAAGCTAGTTTGACTGTAAAAATATTTTTAGGACACAAGGTAACTGATTTAGAGCAAAAAAAAACATACAAGTGCAATTATCATCTATTATAAGTCAGCAACAATAACCTGATTTCTACAAAATGTTTAGACAAAACCACTACTTATAATAAAAATTAGTTCATGCTAAAGGACTTCACAATCTGTGGAAATAAAAATTTTAAATTTTACTTTTTCAAATAGGGTTTCAGTCATGGAAGGTGGTCGTGACGCGTTCCTCTAACGTGCAGAGTGCATTAAGAATTGCCAAGATTGCATCAGCCCACAGGGCTTAATGAGCTCAGGGGGGAAACAAACTCTAAATCAAGTCTCCTTCTGTCATCAAGGGAGGGAGCTCATGTTCTTTGATGGCTGTTTCATCACTTGCTTGGTTTAATGTTATGAGTCCTGCCGTGATCTTGTGGCAGTTTCCCAAATGAGCTTGATGAAACTAAATAGGGAGCCCATTATGGAAACGTGCTGATAAAGGCTCCAAGTTCAGGCACATCAAAGGAAAGGGCTCATTTTTCTCATGCCATCATGAGTTCTGCTGTTTAGCAGCTGGCGTCTACCTCAGGTCATACTTTGTAAAAAAAAAAATGTCAACTGCATTTTAAGAAATACTTCTTTTAAGTTACACAGAAAATATCTGTAGAAACAGAAACAGTGTTAACACGACTGCATTTTTTGCTCCAACAGACAAGAGATTTAAGATAAGATAAGATAAGATAAGATAAGATAAGATAAGATAAGATTTTTGGGCCTATAAAGAAGTTATTAAAACCAAGCAGTGTTTGTTAAGATTAATAGTTTTAATTGCTAATTTTCTCCCACAGAACTGTGGAATTGACAGCATCCAGGAGAGACAAAGTTAATCAAATTGAAGTTTAAGATGTGTGAACAGAGTTTGTCAGTTATTAAGCCTCAAGGAAAACACAACAACACCTTATTCTCTCCTGAACACAGTTATCTGAGGGCATCTCAGCAGGCCAAGCCTCTTGGGACAAATTCACAACAGCAAACATCCTACCAAAGATACCAAACACTAACAGAGGAGAAGARATGAGAAAGAAAGGACTAAATCAAGAGTAAGTATTAAAACGCCCCAAACTAATTACAAACCATCTCCTCAAAATGACCAAAGAATCAAGTAATATCTTCCTGAAATCATTTTTTAAATTTTAATCTTGGAGCTCTAATGTCTCCCACTGCAAAAACTGTCCATCTTACCAAGTTTTAAAATCTTATATCCAGCCGAAAAGTATTTTGATCTTGTTTTGAGACTGATTTACTAAACAAGAACTGATTGTGTGAGAATAATAATCTTGTTTCCAGAATGTGTAAGATTATTTTTCTTGTTAGCCTGAAAATTTGACTCAAATTAAGTCAAAATATCTGCCAATGGAGTAAGAAATTTTTTACTTGGTAAGATTCTTGAAATACTTGATTTGACTCAATTTTTTTCTTCTTTCAAGAATTTTACCAAGTAAAATTTTCTTACTCCACTGGCAGAAATTTTTGACTTAATTTGAGTCAATTTTTCAGACTAACAATACAAATAATCTTACACATTCTGAAAACAAGATTATTATTCTTACACAATCAGTTCTTGTTATCAGTCTCTAAACAAGATCAAAAAGACTTTTTGGCTGGATATAAGATTTTAAAACTTGGTAAGATGGACAGTTTTTGCAGTGCCATGATAAAATCGTGGTGATGATAACTCAGAACCACAGCGAAGCTTCAATTTATCTGGGTTTTTACAAGAATTGTGGGGTGTTTGGCTGTTGTCACATATAAATCAAGGTGATTGAAAAGTGTATTTTAACTGCAGCTTGAAAACATGTTTTTATTGTTTACGTGGTCATATATAACTTTAGTCCATATTTGACATTTAGATGCATTAGAGACGGCTCTAATTTGCTGTATTCAACAAATGAGTGACAAATATTGGGCCTCATGCAAGAACTGTTCGTATGCACAGATTTGTTCTTAAATTGTGCGTACGAGTGATTTAGGAGAATTTGTGACATTCACCAATGTTTTCGTATTCTAAGAATTTCTTCAGGTACGAACAAAAGTCACGAGTGGTCCAGACCTGTCGTATATTTTACGAGCAGTCAGTCTGCTGTTATCCAGAC